CAGAAGAAAAGGCTCTTGGGAAACCTTGTTGGGGTGTTTCAGCACTTAAAGGGTGCTTGTAACAAACATGAGGACAAGCTTGTGATAAGAAAAGAAGCAACAGTTTTAAGCTAGAAGAGGGTAGATTTAGACCAGGTGTAAGGAATAAATTTTTTTTACAATGGTGGTGGTGAAGCACTGGAACAGGTTGCCCAGAAAGGTGGTAGATGCCCCATCCCTGTGAACGTGCATGGTCAGGTTGGACAGGGCTCTGAGCAACCTGGTCTAAGTGAAGATGTCCCTGCTCACTGCAGGGGGAGTTGGACTAGGTATGACCTTTAAAGGTCCTTGCCAACCCAAACTATTCTATGATTCTATATTTATACAGCATCTGCTGCCTAATATCTCAAGACTATTCCTGTGGCTGTTGCTTTGGGCAGCAGTTCCATGGTGGTGTGCAGTATCTGTCCCCACATTGCCAGTGGAGGAAAAGGTCACCTATGAAATTCCAGCAGTATTGGTAGAAGAACCATTTTTTCCCATTACTTCTTTCAGAGTTTCCTTCCTAAAAGTTGTCACCATGATGGTAGAACCTGCTGTGTTTATATATTTTAACACTATTAATGGAGAAGTAGTTTGACAGAAAGTAGTATGTATAGTTTAAATAGAAGAACTAATTGTGTAATTTATTTGCAAACATAGACCTTCTACTTAGAATTTATTTTTTCTAAAAAAAGAAAAGCATGTCTATTTTCAGATCAGTCAGTGGTGGGAGGCAAATAAAAGGGTTAGAAGGTTAAAGAAGAACTTTTTTGTGAAGAAAAAGGAGAAAAAAAATAAGAAAAGCTGCTTTTCTGTGGAGAACAAGCTGCAGGGGAAGAGGGAGGAGTAAAAAGTAAGAATTCTAAGTTTCCAGCTTTACATAAACTTAATTCACAGTAGCAGGAGCACCTTAAAAATCAAAACGAAATTATTTTTGTGTGAGAACACAGCCTGTGGAGAGTGATGTATGCCAGATCCTGCTGAGGATAACCTGGCAACCTTGATCACCCTCCAGTCTACAAAGCCATTCGGCATCACGGGAGCGGGGCAATATGTGAATGCTGAAACACCTGCAAATCAGGCTCAAGGAGCAATCAAAGTGTGATAAACATTAATTAGTATAATATCGAAACCCTTCATGGAGGAAGGAATGTTGATTACACGGTCTCACTTGGGATTTTTTCTGTTGGGGATGGTGTAAGATGACAGTTTCTGATTACACTTAGTCAGGCATGAAGTAAGACTTTTTAAAACTGCGTAAATATGAAGAGAGAAGAGCAGAAAGCAAACAACTTGATCTTTCGAGTGGTTGGGCTTATTTGGCTTTCTATAAAAGCATGTATTTTTGCTTTTTGCCTTTCTAACTTTTGAGGCAAAATGGCTTTGTGAACTGGCTTTGAATGCATCCCTGGATTGTTGTAAACTATCCATATCTTGGCAGCCTTTCTTTTGCTCTCTCCATCTCAATCCTGCGATGTTGCAGCTGCTGGGTCAGAGGCACTGTGTGGGAGTGGGGAGAGCAGGGCTTGGGCTTCTCACAGTCCATTTCTGACTGTGACGGTCATTGCTGCATGAACCCTGAGCTGGCCCACCGCAGTGTGCGTGAACATCCACGTGTGGTAAAACACACTCTAGTGCCTCCTAAAACATTATCCTTTGTTAGGGAGCCAGAACACACTTAGATATTCTAGCCTACCTCTCTAGGCCTGCCTTGGTCTAGTGGGTTGTGCATCAAAGTGCTGAGTTACAGGTACCAGGGGCGATTCATTGATGTTTCCCCATCACTTCAGCAGCCTGAGAAGCCATAAAAGCCTGTGGCTTTGTTTCAAGAAGATTCTTGGTCAAATTAAAACTTGAAAAAGTTTGAGATTTTCTTCCTTTCTGCAGCATACAAGTAGAAGGGACTGGCAATGTGCCTCTGGAACTCAGGAGAAAAGTGGGTGAGGAAAGGGCTCAGTAGCCTAATGAAGATGAACATTTTGTTCCATCAATGCCACCTTCTGCTGCTGCATTCATCATGGGATTATGTCTTCCCTCCCAGGGGATGTAGTCTCACCTCACCTCACCAGTGGTTCTCTCACACAGAAACTTGTCCTAGAGGTTTAGTGGTATCTTGTTCATCAGCAGTGGTATCATGCTGGCTTTGGCACTAATGCTGGGGCAGGATGAATGGCAGCCAGCACTTTCCTTGTTACTCTGCTCCAGCACCAGCTGCTTGGAGAGTCTGAGGATGTAATAAAATACAAAAACCATAAACTTGTCCCCTCTAATTCATGCTCTCTGCGGTAAGGGAGGAATTAAATAAAAGCATGCTTTGTTGAAAAGGAAAAAATTACAACAAAACAAAACAAAAAAACCTCCCAGCTTGACTTTTAGGCAAAAAGCCAAGGTTTTACAGAACAAATTTACTATATCTGCCTGGAAAATACAACAGCAATGCCAAGCATCCCCCCTGCTATCTCTCAGGGCTGGAATTTGCACTGGGAGGAGACCAGAGGGCTGACTTGCTGTGATGTGTACAGTCCTCATATCAGGAAAAAGTAATTTAATACTTTGGCTGCCTTATCCTCCTGTGCAACTATTCTGCTCTGAAATGTTCTTTTTCCTTGGTTGATCACTTACTTTTGTACTTCAGACATGAAATTTAAGTTCTTTGGCATTCTAGAGAGGTTTTCTCTCAGCCTCTGCTACCTTGCCTTTCATATTCACCTTGGTGTGCAGCTTTTCTCTTTTCTCTCCCACTTCCCAAGTTTTGTCATGCCCATCACTTTTGGGTGATGTGTACACTCAATAAAGACAGCAGAGGGTCTCCTGCTGCTGTGATGCTTCCTTCCATCAGAATTCTGTCTTGCTCAGCCAACTTTCTGGAAATCTGTCAGCCTGTCTTTAAACCTGCTCTGATTTTAGAGGTTTTTTTTCAGATGCTGCCTAATCCTTAGCTTATAGAGATGATAAAAATCACAACTCTTTTTTGATGTTGTGGAGAGTTTGGAGACACTCATAGAAATACACCTTGCCAGGGCTGACAGGCAAAGGCCAGTGCACTGAATGTGAGATCCCTAATGCCTCAAATCTTTTCCCCGTGGGAGTAAGAGAACAGTAATTTTTTACTCCATTATTAGACACAGGTGCAGCAGAGGATGCAGCAGAGGAGGTCTTTCTGTAGGCACCTGAATGTGAGATTTATCTGAAGAGTTACAAGGAAAGAACAGGAAGTGATCTGCTCCGTGGCTGCAGATGGGGTAGAAGACGTGGGGCAAGCAAGGGAGGCAGTAGTAGGAGGTATTCCTGGGATGTGGTGTGGGTTTTGGAGAGAGTTGCCTCTGAAATGGAGAGGAGCTTGAGGCAGAAGGACAAGGGCTTTAAGAGAAACGAGAAACAAAATCCGAAGTTGGAGGTGAGGTGCAGGGGACTTGACTGCAAAAAGATTTTGGATGGGTTAAGAGAACGTGAAAGCTTGAATCAAAGCACCTGAAAGATTGGCTTTAATATCTGCTTAGATCAAAAAATAAAATCTCCATGGATTAAGAGATAATCCAGTAGATAGATTTAATCTGCCACATGTATTATTTCCCCAAATACAAGCATTGGGAGTGGAAGGTTGGTTTGGCTCAGTGCCTAGGATTTGCAGGCAGGTGATATATTCTCCTTTCTTCTGCAGGCCCCCTTTTTGCTTGTCCTGAAGCCTGCATCCTGCCCTGAGGGAGGGGCTGTCACTGAACACCTTCCGCTTCTTGGCAACTCAAAGTCACGTTGAATCTAACTGAAGGGGTTTCTCAAGCAGAAAAGAGCACAGAGAGGAAAATAAGACAGCAGTGACTAATAGGGTATACATGGGGTGGGTTCAGATGCTGATGGTGGTTTTGGCTGTCTGAACGCAGGCTTCTGAGGGCCATTTTATTAACACTTACATCTCCTGCCCTGACTGCAGTTGTCTTTCAAACAACCACCACTCAGTAACATGCACCTTCTGAAATGGAAGTTGAGATCTGAATGCCACTTCACCCCTGAAATCATTGGCAACAGCCCTCTCCATCCACTCCCGTTTCCTTTCTTTACAAACACCAAGTTGAATCCTTGGAGTAAGCTCAGTTTCCACTGCAGTACAAATACTCAAGTTGCTGGAGGATACATGAACATGAGGCTGGGTTTTTTTCCATGTATGTTTTCAGTATCGATATGGTACATTGTATCTTCTAACTAACACATGCAACTGTATCTTGAACTGTACATGCATAATGGTCATGCATTTTTTTGAGCCTGTACATGTGATGGAATTTGATTTAGTTGGATTGAGGACATTTAATTTTTTTCATAGTTAACTTGCTCAGCAACAAATAAATTGATTCTGTAGAGTGGTGTGTATTCCTTCTGTGTTGTGGGCCTGCATCACCTAAAGTGAAGGTTTTTGACACATCTCCTAAGGCCTGTGTGATTTGGCCTGTCAGATCCTGGAGTAGGAGATCACAGGAGAAAGTACAAGGTGTCTCAGAGAAGAGGCATCATTGTTTGAAGTACCTGAGCTGGGACTGGACAGGCTTCCCCAGCCTGTGCTGGGAGCAGGCTATCAGCCTGATACTGTCCTTTTATGGGTGAGTGTAGTCACTCTCAGTTATATTTGGTGGACAGTAGGAATGATTGAGACTATAGGTGTCTTCCGTCTTTCCCTTCTGGATGCACCATTGCTGTTGGAGCTGGAGCACAGTAGTTGCTGGTCATGTTCTGTTTTTAGGGATGCTTCCTTTTTAAGACAGGTTCCAGCAAACCTTAAATGAGAAAGATGTATACAGCACTGTGGGCTGAGAGGTGCTTTACTTTTCTGGTCTTACCCTGATGCTGTCCATGTACTACTTTAGCAGCAAGAAGCGTCTTGTGATAGTCAGTGCACTGCCTGTGTGTGGTGGGGATGTAAAGGGAGGTGTGGCACTGTTCTTCTGTGGAACCCAGTGTCTTAGAGATGATGAATGTTAAACGTGGACATGTTTATGTTTGAAAGGTAAGGATAACTGGAATTCCTCAAAAACTCCTTTGCTTCTCCACAACTAGCAATAGAGGGAGTGTGGGAAGGGAGAAGAAGTTGATCCCTGCTGAAGCACTGGAGATAACATGGGGCAGGAGGGGAGTTTGAGGAGTGTTTGAGTGCCTCACTTGACCCATTCACATTCATGGAGTGGAAGGGAGGAGAACAGTTACTCATTTCCAGGCCTGAGCTTGCATAACTGTTTGATTAACACTTCCTTCTGGGAGAGAAACATGTGCCTTGTCAGCTCGTGAGAATGGTGTCTGGGAGTCAGCAGGGTGCTGACTAAAAGGCAGTTGATATCTTGCTTTTATTTGGAGCTTCAGGAAGGCTTTGTTGAGCTCTTTTAGAAGAGGGGTATACTCACAGGTGAGAGGGAAAATTGCATCATTGATTTGAGGGAGAGAATTTGAGGGAGAGAAGCGAAGCAGAAATAAATGAACAATTTTCTCAGCTTTGAAGACAATAAAAATAGTCAGATGCCCCCAGGAGCAGTACTGGAAAGAGCGTCAATCAATAAAATTATGAAACATCTAGAAAAGAGGTGAACTGTGAGGTGGGAAAAGTTGTTGTGGAGAGCAGTTAGGGAAGCCTTAGGTCCTTCAGAGGCATCTCACAGTTTAACAAAAGGCAATTGGACAGCCCTATGACACGTGAAATTTGCTGCAGATAGGTGCTAGGATATGCACACTGAAAGGAACAACAGAAACTACTCTGAGAACTCATCAAGTGTATAAGTGATGTGGACTTGCTCCGCTGAGACAGAGGGAGGGAGTGGGAAGGAAATCATGAACAGATTTGTACTTAGTGTTGGTACAAAATACAAGCTGTTAGGCTGTGTTTAAAATAAAAGGATGGGGAAATGGAGAATAATTCCAAGAGGGAGAATCTCTTGAGGTTCAGTTTTGCTCATCTCCCACTCCACAAAGAATAAAGCAGAAACAGGCTGTGTGCTCTCCTCCCGTATGTATAAGGAAGGATTTTCATACCTCCAGGAAGAGGGGAGCATGGCTATAAACAAACAGAAACACTTAAAACTGTTTAGAGAAAGAAGCAGGGCTCTGTCAGAATGATACGAGGTGAATCAGCTGCTTGAGCTTGCTGTTTTTTCACTACCTACAATGGGGGGGGGGGGGTTTAGTGAAGTCCATTTCTGTGCTGTAATAGGGAATGTGCTGTACAGAGTGGAAATACTTGAGAAGATGGATTTGGTGCCATTCGAAAATGGGAATCATGGATCACTGCTCATGTCAAATTTGTTAAAAGGCGTTATACAGACAGAGCAGGGAAAACAGCATGGGAGTTCTCTACTCAGAAGTAAAGAGGGACTTTTGGCAAAATTTACAGACAATACCTGAGATTGATTTTTACATGCACAAGATGATCCAACAGAACTCATTGCTACAAAACATTGCTGAAGCTAAATGCTGTCTATCCTAATAGGTTTGTATAGCCATAAAAACATTCTTTGCTGCCTTCATTAGAGGGGTGAAGATTCAAAACGGTTTTCAGATTTTGAGCTTGAGGCTAAGGAGAACCTGCTAATTATGCATGGGAAAGGAAGGTCTCTTCTGAGAAGGTGACTCCGTAGTTACCTGTAGTTGATCTCTGGTCCCAGTGTCCCTTGTAGCCTCTGGTTGAACCTGTGTGACAGTTCCTGCAGCATGGTAGCAACTGTGCATGACACAGTGGCAGTTTCAGTCATGCCACTGGCTGCAAGATGTCTTCTACAAGCTTTGTGGGAAAGGACTATGTCCATGCAGTGAACACAGAGGTACTTAACCAGTGACTGCTGTCCCCTGCTGCCACAGAGTGCTTTCCACCTCAGTCCCAAAGCATTTGATGCTGATCTAGTTATGTAAAAATTATGCAAGTTAGCATGCTTTATTGCTCCAAATGAGGACCTAATGTTGTTTGACTGATGTGGAAACCAAGTCAGAAAGCTGAGAAGAAACAACAAAGTCATGCAATAAATAGTGCTGGTGTAGTAGGGGACAGGATGAGCCTTGTGAGTCTTGAGCCCTACTCATTAGCATGTGTTGCCTTTCATTTTTAACAAGTCATTTTTAAATTAAAAATATGTCGACAGTTGATAACTGTCTGTGGTTTTGTCAGCTGTACCTGCAGAGGCCTAGAGCTTGTGGCACTCTGGTGTTGCAAAAAAGCTGCAGTTCTTCATTTTTCTGTCCTGTGACTCAAACAGCTGCAGGAACTTTGTGTTGTGAGTCGTGGACTAGATCTACCTTCATGTTGGAGCACATAAAGCTCTCAATGGGACCAAGACAAGCGAATTCCAACCAGCACTATTTTGCCCTATGAAATAATCCAGTCCACTGGGATTCACATCCTTCCCTGAGGGCTTGGGTCTTTGAATTCTTCATCTTAAGAAAAGTGCTTGCTTCCATTGCTTCCTAGGATCTCTCAGCGGGTGGAGACCAGCTGGGCACAGCTTCAGACGATCAGTGAGAGAGTCACACTCGCTCAAGCAAAAATTGAGAAGATAAAGGGCAGCAAGAAGGCTATTAAGGTAGTGACTTATGTGAAGGCTGCATGGCAACACTTCTTCCTTCCACTTCCTCCCTCTGCTGCTTATGCAAGCTCTGGAGAAGAATGGGTGCTTGGCTGCTGCAGCTGCTTCCAGCTCATGTCTCCATGCCTTGCTGCTGAGCAGGGTTGGGATGAGAATCCCCTTCCTGATTTGGCCCACTGATGATTTTTAGACGCATAAGCCACACAGCTTCAGGTCTTATGAAGTGTATACAGGTTCCTGCCCCAGCTGCTTCCTGAAAAAGAGAAATGTCATGTACTGAGCTAAGCCAAATACCCTTGGACTTCAGGCATTTTGGCTTTTTTAATGAAAGCTGCTGTTAGAGACCCTCCCCTTAGTGCATCTTAATCCCATTAAGCCATGTAAAACTGGTGAAAATCCTCCTTTCCCTATCCTTACTCCATTTTTTACAGTATTTCCAATTCCCTGCTGGTAGAAGCCTTTTTGCTAATGATCTCCTAGTACTTTTATATACAGAGAAGCTCGGACATTTCCAGTTTCCAAAATGACAGCTCATGCATGTTTGGGTCTGTGCAGACAGCCCTTAGGAGGGCTTAGGAGGTTGACTCCAAGGCTGTCCAATTGCACTGGCAGATGGTGTGCTTGCTCCAACCCGCATGTTTCTGCATTGTAGGATTGCCCAGTTGTTGGGATTTTTCAGTTCCTCCTTGTTTCTCCCCAGGTGTTTTCCAGTGCCAAGTATCCAGCCCCTGAACGGCTGCAGGAGTACAGTTCGATTTTTGCTGGTGCAGAAGACCCAGCTAATCAGAAATGGCCAAGACACAAGATTCAGAGCAAACACCGAATGCTGGATGAGAAAGCTCTGCAGGTAAGGAGAAGGAGAACAGACCTTGAGATGAACAAGTAAAAGGAAGCTGAGAGGCTGATAGTCTTTTAGATCAAGTAGACCAGGGCTTTAGGATATAGGCTGGGAGCAAAACATCTTTTTTGCTTGGCCAGTTGGTGAGTGTGTGTGAGGCCAGGCTGGGAAGCTTGCAGAGTTGCCAGTTTGAGAGGGCCATGTCAGTACAAGACCTTGGCTGGATGGTTGAGTGCTCTGTGTAGCTGTTGGCTGCCAGCTCTCCAGAGCAGCTCAATTTCCTGAAATGCTGCTGTTTCCTGCAGTCGTGCTGGTGGGTGCTGCTGGCTGGGCTCAAGGCTTTGGCTCTGCATAGCAAGGCAGTTGGGCTCAGGGTCAAAATTGTTTGAAAAATGCTTTCTGAAGGCTCTAATATAAGCAGTGGTGAGAAGGAAATGGTAAAAGTGCTTGTGACCGTATCAGGAGAAAATCAAGTCATTAGAGCATTTTTCTTTTCCAGGAAAGCATGACACAGGTATTGTCCTTCCCATGTTCCCAGCTAAGTTTTACATCTTGGGGGAAAGGTTGCTTTGCTTCTTTACATCTTTTGTTTGTACTTTGCTCCTCCTTTGCTTTGAGCTCAGTTATTGTAGGTTGCAGGCCCTTCAGAGGAGCTGAAACTCTCAGTACCCAGCACAGGTGGTACTTCCAGGCATGCCCATAGCACACATGTCTGCAGCTCGTGGTGTTGAAGGAGGTCCTGAAGTACTGAGTTCCATTTTAGCCTGTGGATTGTGTGGCAGTAAGCAGCTTCTTAGGAGTAGTAGATGTCCTCTTCCTGGCAAGTTAGGGATCAGCCTGACAACTTCCCTTCTCTCCAGCTCTAAAGAGACTTCCTACCTCATCCTTGTGTGCCTTGGCCCAAAAATAAAGCTGCTACTGAAAAATTTATCATGCTAAACTTTTGTGAGATTTAATGGACCTGAGACCTCACACAATGAGGTAGTCATGAATATTTCAGCCAGGCCAGGGAAGCAGGGTTGCTGGCCAAATGGACAGCTGACAAACTCGAGCAGGGTTCATGCTTCCTTTGAGCCCTGGCAGTGGCACAGGGCAGAGCTGTGTGGCACCTGCTGCTGGCTGGCCAGGGGAGGCCAGTGATGGTTGTGCTGTCTGGCTGGTGGCCCCATCCCACCAACATGTGGGGGGAGCAGAGGCAGGTGGTGGTGCTGAACGATGGAGGGGCCTGTGCCAGAAGAAGCTGATGTGCTGAATCAGGCTCTGTGTGGCTGAGCTCTGACCACATTCCAGGGGAACAGGCCCTTCTTGGCCTTGACGGAATACAGAGCCTGATGTACCTTGCAGTAATGAAATGTGACAGAGGGAAGTTGAATGTTTGCATTTGTGCCCTCCTCAATTATTCAGGGCTTTCAGCAGAGGCTTGCTGCCTGTTTTCACGTCTAATGAGGTCCTCTTTGCTGGGAGCAGTTGCAGTGGCCTTTGCTGCCTTCACTCGGGCCTGCACACAACTCACCAGGAAAGCAAACTCTGCTCTTGTCAGTTTGAGGGTAAGTGGTGGCAGCCTGTGCTCAGTGCTTAGGTTTGTGCTCTGGAGGGAAAGCAGCCGAGTTGGAAATGTGCGTGGTTCTGCAGCTTATTTAAAAATGCTTCCCTCCTGGGAAATTCTCATTACCACCTCCACACCCCACACAACACTGCTTAGGTTGGTAAGTTAAGCATTGATGGCTAAGAGTGCCAGAAACAGTCCTTCTGGTAAGCCTGGAAAGACACTTGCTTTGCACATTGCCATGGTAGCAGCTAGGCAGGGTTGAACGTGATGGCTGCAGCCTTGTGGGTCTTCTCAGGCCCTGGATGCTGCCTTTGCAGTGGGATCTGTGTCCAGGTGCTGCAAGTGCCCCTCAGGAGGCTGGAAGATGAGGTGGGAGACATAGTTTGCCTGGACTTAGGAAGAGGTCCACTGCTGGAGTAACCTCGCAAGGCTCCAAAAATGTCAGTAAGTTGGCATGTTCTTGTGCCTCTACACAGGCATGAGGAGGCTGAACTGGGTTCTTGGCACTTGCTCATCTTCAAGTGCTTTTCCAGCTAGACTCATCGGTGGCTTGGGGGAAGTGGGATTTCTGGTGTATCAGCCCAATTCCCTTTGTAAGAGTGTTTGCTTAATTAAACTTGGGAACCAGGGTGACTTCATATGTTTTAACTGTAGGTTGTCAGGGAGAAAATTTCCTGGAGATTTAGCATCATTTGAGTTGTGATGCTGCCAGGTGCCAAACCCCAGGCTGGGATGTTTGGGCATTCAAGCACACTCCACACCTTCAGTATGTCTTAAGTTGCTGAACTTTTGACTTAAGGCCTCAGTGTCCCTATAAGAAAACTCATATATAAATGGCATGTTAACTTTTGGAATTCATAGTTACAGGATATTATTACCAGTAGGTAGCTGTTCTAAATTTCAAATCAGATCTAGGTACTTGAATTAAGACTAGTATTTTCGTGGCATTTAAACTAATAAGATTATGCAGGGCCTCACATTTCAGAGTAATACTCATGCTTAGTGCATTTATAACTGCCTTAGATGAGACTTAAAATTAAATGTAGGTAACGGTTGGTTTCTCACTCTGCCCTTAAAGTGACACACAGTCTTCCAGCACTAATTGAAATCTACAAAGAGAATTAGAAAAAAAATATATATGACTTGAGGGCTAAGTGTGTGTGAACAGTACTAGCAAAAACATCAGTACTTCCTCATGCTTAAAAAATTAAACATTGGGAAATGAATATTAATGTTCAAAAAATCCTTTATTTCTGAATCTTTGCTTCTGTGGTCTATAAATAACAATTTATATATTTTTTACTACCTGCTGCTGTAAATATTCAAGATGTGTATTTCAGTATATTTTTCACAAGTTGGAATGTGTTATTTGGTGAGGAAAAAAAAACTTAGATCAAAACCTCCCAAGTCTTTTCTTACAGCGTTTTATAGACTCAGAGCATCATACAAACTCTTAGTGGATTAACTGAGCTGTGACTAAGCCATTTCCCCAGATTTCTGGCTACCAAATTCAAGACTGAAATTTCAATCATCAG